CGAGGCAGTTACACAATGCTTACAACTGTCTCTGGAAGTGAAAGCACCAGAATATATAGTAAGTCATACGCAGCTATCATCCATACGCAAGCAAGTAAGCACAAGATGCCGAACACCCTTAGCAGGATGCAGCGCACCCTTCATGCGACTCGCCGAATATCTCACGGCGCTTCGCGCTTGGTGATGTGAGAGCCTGGTCCGGTGAGAACCCGGCGTGCTCCGTCCCGGCTTTGTAGGGATGCGAGGTCAATGGTCTAACGACTACGGCATGCACGACTATGAGTACACCCCCCCCCCTCCGGTGTTTGCCTATCGGGATTGGGTTTTCGTCGCTTGGCAACGACGTTGTAAAACAAGCCAATTCACTTCGTGAACTCGGCAACCAGGTTACCGTTTTTTTTTTTTTCCTCCGTTTATTTTTTTTGGGCGGTAACCATAATGATGGTTGAGTAGATCATGTTGTGCGGGGTGAACCCTCACTCCGCGCAAGGGGGATGATCGCACCACGTTGTGTTAAAATGGTCAAGCACCCTCGAGGCAGTTACACAGTGCTTACAACTGTCTCTGGAAGTGAAAGCACCAGAAAATAAATTAATTCATACGCAGCTGTCATCCGTACGCAAGGAAGTAAGCACAAGATGCCGAAAACCCTTAGCAGGATGCAGCGCACCCTTGATGCGACTCGCCGAATACCTCACGACACTTGGCGCTTGGTGATGTGAGAGCCTGGTCCGGTGAGAACCCGGCGTGCTCCGTCCCGGCTTTGTAGGGATGCGAGGTCAATGGTCTAGCGACTACGGCATGCACGACTATGAGAACTCCTCCCCACCCACCCTCCTCCTTTTTCGGTGTTCCCGCCGGCGGTCTCGACTCCCGTGCTCCAGAGTTTAAGTCTCCGCCTTCCTTCGTTTGACGTAGATATCATACGTGTGTGCGTTTTTTGCTTCTCCTTCTTTGGTGCATTCAGGTGTACATCTCTTACGGGCCTAAGGGGAACGCGGACCTCCTCCTCCTGTATGGCTTCTCGCTAGACCGCAATCCCTACAACTCGGTGGACGTCACCATCTCCCTCGATGAGGTAATTGAGGTCAAGGCCTCCTTTTTCTTCATGTTTTCAGGTTCATCCGGCTTTTGGTTCCCATCGTCAGTTAATAAAGCACGTGTTTTCTGCTTCAGCCACCACGTTACAGCCGGGGTCTACACGGCAGCGGCTGGAGAGCGACTAGAGCATCGACGCCCTCGAAAGTGGCGATCTAACTTAGAGTGACACTTTCTCTGAGTATATGACACACGCTAGTTTGGCCCTTTCACCCTATGTACCCCGAGGCATGTTTTACTAAGAGGGCTCCGAACCCTACGATGAACTGTTACACGGCGTCATAGAGGATCACGCATCGAGGAGGCGCTTGAAGAGTCCCTTGCTTCCACCCACAATGATATCCTGGTTGTGCTCTGCTGTGTGTGACGGTCTAACGTGGTTTGGTTACCATCTAACGACAGTCCAACACGCTGGTTCAAAGATGCCACGGCCCATGTACTTTCGCCAGTCCGCTCATGAGATTTGTCCATTATATCGTTGTTCTTGCTGTCTCTGCTCCCAGAACGATGAGCTGTACGAACGGAAGAAAGCATTCCTGTCGGAAGCGGGGCTGCCGCCAACCAAAGCTTTTCCTCTCTACAACGACAGGTACCTGGTTGGTCTTTTTTTTTGTTGCGCCTGTTCAACCTCGTATGGTGTCGCTGTTTTTCGCTCTTCGTTTTGGTTACGAAAGCAGCTACTCTTCAATTTTTAGAAACACACACAACTCAAATGGGTACACATAATTTCCAGCCTAAACTACCCCGTGTTCGAGCATGAAGTATCGCTACAATGGCACTTGTCTATTATCGTTCATTGCGTGGTCCCAACAAAAAACAAACCACCATCTCTCAGAACGAACATGTACAACAATGCATGTTTTATATCAAGGTACCCAGACGAGCTGCTGCAGTACCTCCGGCTGATCCAGCTCAACACCGACCAGCTCCGCGGCCGGACTCTGGAGGACCTATCGTTCGAGAAGAAGCTGACCGACGTTAATGAGCTCATGGTCCTGGACAGCCTCGTAGAGGCCTGCAAGGCCGCGATAGCGGGGTACCCGACCACAGTAAGTAGGCTCGACAGGACGGCAGGTAGACTTCATTACCCCCCTGAATAGTAGCGGTCATATTCGTGTTTGGCTTGCCTGTGAAAGTGTTTCGACCCCAGGGCCTAGGTGATGGGTGTCGTCGGGAGTAGGCTTGACAAATGAACGTGTTATGCACATGGTTTACCGACACACGTCAGGCAACAAGATGGCGTTTCGGTTCTCGGGTGTCTGGGACCCCGACGGATGCGGTGGGAATTTTGACAAGAGCATCACTGATTGACGCCTCCGTGACCTGGGCGGCCTTCTTTCGCATCGAGCAATGAGAACAAAGGCCCCGTGGCCTCGCTCGAGTGTTGTACTGTACTACTGTAGCCTGGCGACCTTGAGAAGAGTACAGAATGCGTGTTCCTTTTTGCCTACAGTACGCGCCACCACTTGAGGACCTGTGCTATTTTGCCCTGAGAACTTTTTTCTTGTCTCCAGTGTGGGGTAACCCAACATCGACTGACTATTTGTAAAGGTCTTAGTGTGGGATTGTAGACCCGGAGCGCCTGTTGTCTGGTCTAGGCCTTTCGTTCGTCTGTTCTTGAGTCTGAGATTCTTATCTCCCAGGTTCTTCAGGCACGTGCTGCGGTGCAGTACCTCTCGGGAACAAATACGATATATTTTGTCAATCTTCAGGTCTCAGGGAAAATCGAAGAAACATTATCGCGTGCCCCCCGCCCCGCTCCTGACCCATAACCCCTTGTTCGGCGCTCAAATGTTTTGTGATTATATATTTTTTTTGTTTTCCTTCGCAGGAGGAGCAAGACTCAAAATTAATGAACGACCCGGGGATGTTCCGCGCCCTCTCCAAGACGCAGCGCATGGCGGTCAAACACCGGCGGCAGGAGAAGGTTATCTTGAGACGGACCATCGCGGCCGTAAACAAGGAAAAGGAGAAGCTGCGGATTCCACTCGGCGGCCTTCCTCAATAAGCGGCGGAATTATAGTTTTTTTTCTTCTGGGGGGGATCCCCATGCTATCGTGCCATTTGCGGGCCGCGGAGGAAGGGGTGTGGTATATTAAAAATAGGACGTGTAGCAGCTAAAAAAAAAAATGTCTGCTGTTGTGCTTCGCTTGTTGGTTCGAGCTTTGATCGAGAAATCTCAAAAGCGTTCAAGCGTGTTATGGGTAACCAGGCTAGCACGGGAGGCACTGGTCGCACACTAGGCCTTCGCGCACAAAAGTGTAGAAAGGCGTACAGCAGTACATGTGGCACCAATGGCGGTGCGTAGCAGCGTCTGTGTGTTGTTGTTATGTGCCCCTCTCCGCGGAAAGAGAGAGAGAGAGGCCGCTGCTGCTGCTGCAACCAAATGTTGATCTCGCCTCTCGCTTCCTCCACCGATAGCTAGCAGCAGCAGTGTATGGCACACCCTTCTCCCGCCGTCTCGCCCTCGCTGTGGTCTGTGTTTCCCACTCCCTGTTTGTCCATGTCTGGCTCTGTGTATGTGTGGTGTGTGGTGTGCAAGGCTATCTGTCTTGGTTCAAAACCAAACGACGCCTCCTCTCTGTGTTGCAAGGGGCCAGAAACTTCCCTGCTTCAAGTTGGGTACCGACGCCGCACTATCTCGACGCACCGAGCACGGATTGAAAAGGCAGCAGTCGGGGCAGCTCGGGCAAGATATTACTTGTTGTGAACACGTCTTAGATTGCAATTTGGTGCCGAGATGGTGAAATGGGCTGGAATCTGCTGGGTAATACAGTTGGCGCCCGCAGTTAAGAAACGCTTATTTCAGGTCCAGCCTCGAATTCTTATTGTGGGCTATAAACTCAGCGTATGTCGTTCAGTTTCTTATTTCAAACTTCTTATTTTTTCGTGCAGCCAAATCCTGCTGAATTTCTTAAATCGGTAATTTCTAATTATTTCTCTGCTTGCATACTACACAACGTTCCAATATACAAATGATTTGCACTGCTTTCCTCGACCCCCGTACTCATCCCCGATTCTCACTACCGACGGCTGCACGTAAGGCCACTCCCTAGAAGCGAAATGTATCCAGCGGCAACGTCTCGCTATCGCTACAAGGTCCTGTACC